GCGAATCGCGCTAGGTCTCCCATGTCGTCCTTGCTGGAGTCTGATTGCGTTCCGTCCATGGGTAGTTGGACGTGCAGCTGAATGTAGGATCCAGTGACAAGCGCCTCCTTGATAGAACGAGCATACTGAGATACGCCGGTCTGGCCGTGAGCGAGTCTTGGTCCAGGGATGACTAGATTGGTAACACCACAGAAAGCTGCATAGGCAACCTCAAGGTGAAAAGCTTGGCGCGACAAATGGGAGATGATCGGGTCAGGCGAAGATAAATCGATCCACGAGCTAGTGAATGCTACCAATTGACTAACAATCTCGTTCGGGCTAAGTGGTGTATCGAAGTTGTCCAAGGCAGGTATCAAGGGCAGCGGTTGGGATTGCGACTCAGCGAGGGCTTGGGTGTAGGAGTTGAGCAGACTCAAGACGCGGTTCTGGAAGTGGTCGTTGGTGATGGTGCTAGTGAGCATGTCATACTGGAGGTTGTCAGTAGGGTTCTTGCTAGTTTTGGAGGCACTTACTCCGAGATCTTGGGCATGCTGCACCAACTCGGGCGAGACGTCCAGGGTGCGCTTCGACTCATGTTGGCCAATATAAAATACGGGCGCATGTTCGCCCATGCCTTCCGAGTAGTCCATAACAGTATCGGGGTTAGTCAGGCCAAGATGAGAAAAAGTGTTAGTGGAAGAAAAGTTGGTGAATGTTGCGGACTACCGCGGGGTCAGCAAAGTCGCGAATGCAATGCTGCGGCGCGCGACCAGGGATACGGAGCGCGATGACAGCGGCAGGAATGTGGAGTAGAGAGAAGGAGCCACCAGGGGTGGAGAAGGTATATTTCCTACATGGCGGCGTGTGGATATTGCTATGTTGCCTTGCAGCCTGTCGTCGATTGCGCCAAGCGCGAGCAGTCGCGGTAAGTGGAGCTAAGGGCCCGTCGCATAACTTTTTCTGGGACGGCGAGTGCAGCCGCCATCCACACGCGCAAACTCCGCCAGCACCACAATGACAGCCATGACGAAGCGCGAGTACGGCGACGACGACAGTGCCCGCGTCAAGCGCGTCAAGACGGAATCCAACGGCGAGGGCAAGATGGACGCGGCGGCGAATCCCTACCTGGCGCACTGGAACGACGACAAGCCCGTCAAGAGCGAGTACAGCGGCACCGGCTCCGGCCTCCAGGGCTTCAAGAAGCATGCGACGACGACTGCGCAGGCCAACGCCGCCGAAGACGGCCCCAACAACGCCTTCACCGGCCGCCCGCTCTCGAGCAAGTACATGAGCATCCTCAAGAAGAGGCGAGACCTGCCCGTCCACCAGCAGCGCGACGAGTTCCTCAAGCTGTACCAGGAGTCGCAGATCCTCGTCTTCGTCGGTGAGACGGGTTCCGGAAAGACGACACAGATCCCGCAGTTCGTCCTTTTTGACGACCTGCCCCAGCAGAATGCCAAGATGGTCGCCTGCACCCAGCCGCGCCGTGTCGCTGCCATGTCCGTCGCCCAGCGTGTGGCCGAGGAGATGGACGTCGAGCTGGGCGAGGAGGTCGGATACAGCATCCGTTTCGAGGACAAGACGGGGCCCAACACCATCCTCAAGTACATGACCGACGGAATGTTGCTGCGCGAGGCCATGAACGACCACAACCTCACGCGCTACAGCACCATCATCCTCGACGAGGCTCACGAGAGAACCCTGGCTACCGATATCCTCATGGGTCTGCTGAAGGAGGTGGTCCTGAGGCGGCCGGACCTCAAGCTCATCATCATGAGTGCTACGCTCGACGCTACCAAGTTCCAGAAGTACTTCCACAACGCGCCCCTGCTCGCCGTACCTGGACGAACCCACCCCGTCGAGGTCTTCTACACGCCTGCTCCCGAGCGAGACTACGTCGAAGCCGCCCTGCGCACCGTCCTCCAGATCCACGCTACCGAGCCCGAAGGCGATATCCTGCTATTCTTGACTGGTGAGGAGGAGATTGAGGATGCCTGCAGGAAGATAAACCTCGAGGCCCAGGACCTTTCTCGTGAAGGTGGTGCTGGACCATTGGTCGTATACCCGCTTTACGGAACCCTACCGCCAGCACAGCAGCAGAAGATCTTCAACCCTGCGCCTCCGCCCGCAACACACGGCGGCCGCCCCGGACGCAAGTGCATCGTTTCTACCAACATTGCTGAGACATCTCTCACCATCGACGGTATCGTCTACGTCGTGGACCCTGGCTTCAGCAAGCAAAAAGTCTACAACCCCCGTATCCGTGTCGAGTCCCTCCTCGTTTCGCCCATCTCCAAAGCCTCAGCACAACAGCGAGCTGGTCGTGCCGGACGTACGCGTCCCGGTAAATGCTTCCGCCTGTACACCGAGCAAGCCTTTAAGAAGGAGCTCATCGAGCAGACCTACCCCGAGATTCTCAGGTCAAATTTGGCTAGTACCGTACTCGAGTTGAAGAAGCTTGGAGTTGATGACTTGGTACACTTTGATCTGATGGACCCGCCCGCGCCTGAGACCCTGATGCGTGCGTTGGAGGAGCTTAACTACCTGGCATGTCTTGATGACGAGGGTGAGCTGACCACACTCGGAGGACTCGCCTCGCAGTTCCCTCTGGATCCCGCATTGGCAGTCATGCTCATCACATCGCCTGAGTTCTACTGCTCAAACGAGATCCTATCGCTCACTGCGCTGCTCTCTGTACCACAAATCTTCGTTCGTCCAGCCAACAACCGAAAGCGCGCAGACGAGATGAAGGAGCTGTTCGCACACCCCAAGGGCGATCAGCTTACCATGCTCAACGTCTATCATGCATTCAAGAGCGAGGAGGCGCAAGCAAACCCGAAGCAGTGGTGTCACGACCATTTCCTCTCTTACAGAGCGTTACAACAGGCCGACAACGTCCGTCTCCAACTCAAGCGCATAATGGAGCGCGAGGAACTTGAACTTATGTCAACGCCGTTCGAGAACAAAAAGTACTACGAGAACATTCAGCGTGCACTTGTTGCCGGTTTCTTCATGCAAGTCGCCAAGCGCGATGGCAACGGCAAGAGCTACATCACCGTCAAGGATGAGCAGAATGTTCTTCTGCACCCTAGCACGGTTCTTGCAGAGGATAGTGAATGGGTCATCTACAACGAGTTCGTCTTGACAACCAAGAACTACATCCGAACAGTGACCTCCGTGAAGCCGGAGTGGCTCATGGTGAGTGCATCCTTTCTTACTTTAATGCACGTTTTACTAACATCTCCCAGGATATTTCACCAAACTACTACGACTTGTCTCAGTTTAAGAAGGGTGAGATTAAGACTGCTCTGCAGCGGGTGGTCACCAAGCTCCAGCGGAAGGAGGTAGAGAAGGGAGGACGGAGATGATGCGCTTCGAATGCGCTGTGGAAGCACATGTAAAACAGAGGTCCAAGGCAAGCGGAACATGGGCAGCATCATGGGCGCCGTATAGAGGGCGCTCGATTTGATGTAGTGCTACTTGGCGTTAGGCTTGCTTTTGCATCAGATGACATGATTGAAGTCGAGGACGCTGCCTGAGCGTATTCTAATTGAATCTCATGACATCTTCACTTTCACTGTAGCTGCTGGTATCGACTAACCGCATGCACGCTAGCGTTGACCCCCACATGTCGGTATCTACGCGCGCCGACATCTCCAACTTTTTCTCAGCTCAGCATTTCCGCGACAACGCGATCGCAAACCACATTACGCGACGGAACAGGCTTGGTCTCTCTCGAAAATGGCCCCAGTACAAAGCGAAGACGTGTCTTTGTTCCACATCGAGCGCATATCGCAATACGTCTGCATCCCACCCTCATGTCTCGCGGATCCCTTCTCAGCAGTATGCGCAACAGTACTATCACCCTTACTCCTCACGTACTTCCCACCTGCGAAGGGCGTAGTACTCGCATACGAAAATGTAGAGCTGCAAAGTACGCCACCCGCCGTATCGGATCCGAAATCCAAGAACAAGTCACAGTCACAACAACGAAGCGAATCCAATTCCAACGACAATGCGCCTGCTGAGCCGTTGCTACTCAGGCACGTCGATGAATACGCAGCGCCGTTCCTTTGGGTCACAGCCTCTTTCATCGTGTGGCGCCCAACCCGAAATGCATACCTCACCGCGCACATCACCGACCAGGCGAAGACGCATCTCACACTCGCACACCTCAACACCTTCCCCGTTAGCATACTCAAGGAATGTCTGCCCTCAGACTGGTCGTGGCATTCGGAAGAATCCGGTCAAACGAAGCAGGGATACGATGGCAAATTGTCGGACGAGGGAGGCTGGTGGGTGAACGGCGACGGAGAGAAGGTGGAGGGAGAGCTACGAGTGAGGATACGAGACGTTGAGGGCAGGATGGATGGAAAAGGAAAGGGCAAGGGTTTCTTGCGCATTGACGGAGCGCTGGTGTCTGAGGAGGAGATCAAGGCGGCACAACAGAAGGCTGGCAAGGGAAAGAGAAAAGCTACTACGAGCGCGATGAAGGCACAACCACAGAAGCAAGCGGAAGGAGAAGTCATGGAGATCGATTCGGATTAGGTTGTGGGTAATGGGCACTATACGGGTCTATTTGGTCGCAAACTCTGCGAGATGCGCAGCATATCATTCGCATCAGAACGGCGTTAAGGCGTTTAAAACAAAGCAAGATGCAAACTCCAGCATCTACGATACCACACACAAATATAACAACCTTGATCAAACGCTCCACTTCCCGTCCCTCGTGAGCACAGACCAATCAGACAACGCACACCTCCGTCTCCCGCCGCAGCAAACCGCGGCAAGCATCCCCCCATCAAACCCATCCCACCACCTCTCCAGCACCTTCCCACCTCCCTCCCCAACCCCCCAATCCAACCACCCACACTCTTTCACCGCCACCCACCCACCGTATTATGTCTTCATCCAAGAAATCCTCCTCCTCATCCTCCCGCAAATCACGCTCCCACGATCCCATCTACGAATCTGGGTACGGTAGTAGCAGCAGCAGATCCTACGGCACGACGTATAGCAGCATGTCGCCTTTCTGGACGATTGGCACGCTGCTGGGGGCGAGCAGTGTGGCGCTGGGTGCGTTTGGGGCGCATGGGTTGAAGAGCAGGATTAGGGATCCGGGTGCGTTGGCGAATTGGGGGACTGCGGCGAATTATCAGGTATGTGTGATTTGTTCTGAGAGAGAGAGAGAGAGAGTGGTTTGATGTATGGGATGGGCGTGTGTTGCGGGAGTTGAGAGTGGTTTGTGGCTCTGCGTCACCGCAAGGTGCATCTAGGCGCAACATTCGCCCCTCTTCGCATTGGACACCGCATCTCCTGTTATCACTGTAGATTCTGTGGATTCATGCTAACAATGAACATGACAGCTCGTCCACTCCGTCGTCCTAACCATGACATCCGTTGTCGCGCCGCAAAACAAAATCGCCATGGCCCTCTTCACCGCCGGCATGACCATGTTCTCTGGAAGCATATACCTGCTTGTGCTGGATGCGAAGAAGTACAAGCAACTGGGGCCTGTCACGCCAATTGGTGGCGCTTGCCTTATTGCTGGTTGGCTGGCGCTGGCCGCGAGGGGAAAGATGGTCAGACTACCCAGGAGCGCGTGATGGATGAAGACAAAGGATTGATGGACCGGGAAATGGACAGTTGTACAGTCAAACACCGCCTGCAGGTCTGGCATATCATATCCCGAGATGCATGAGATACTTGGTTACGAGCATGATGAATGACAACAAATTGCTTCTGGCAAATTCTACAATGAGTCAAAATCTTTTGCGACAGGGCAACAGCTCTTCACAAAACACATCGTAAGATGAAAATAGCTACACCGGTCCTTACGCGCCACCGCGCCCACTCGCGGATGACTAGTTCCCGATCAAGATCTTTAGCTCCCATGACTCGAGACGAGCCGCACCCCACATCCGCAAGCCTAGAACATTATCTTCAACGTCCATCCCAACCAGCTATGTGCTGGCGTCCCGCTCAAACATATCCTTTCACGTGTCGCATATCCAAAACCCTGGTTTGGGACCAAATGACCGTTGTGGCCCCCAAACATGTCCCATTATGACATGCTCCGGCACTTCCCCCCACTTAGGCATGTAGCGTGTGCCGCAGGATGCGGCTGCATGGCATAGCGGCTTTCTACCTTGTAAGAGAAGAGAACCCTGGAACTAGGGTAAAAGCAATGTCTTTCCATGCGGCAGTATCGTCTCTTTCCTCACATTGTTGTACAGTATGGATTCAACGGGCATTGAGACACCAACAACATGGCTGCCATCAGCGCGTCATATACTCGGTCTCGCAGGCCTCTGGCTAGTGTTCAAAGTGCTAGAAGCTATCTACAACATCTCGCCGCTCCACCCACTGAGTTCAATTCCTGGACCAAGATTGGCGGCTGCAACCTACTGGCCGGAATTCTACCACGATGTCGTCAAGTTTGGCTGTTATACCAAGGAGATCAGTAAAATGCATAAAGTTTATGGTGAGCTCATCACTAGATTTCTTACACCAGCGCGCAAGCTAATCAACCACATCTCAACCAGGCCCCATCGTACGAATCAACCCCAACGAAATCCACTGCGACGACATCCGCTTCGCAGACGAGATATACGCGACCGGTAGCCGAAAGCGCGACAAGCCAAAGCACCAAGTCAACGGATCTTCGTAAGCCACTAATCCCACACATACACGCCAGCCATGTCATTCCCCTAACCTTCCCAGTATCTCATTATCCGGCTTCGGCACCATCGACCACGACCTCCACCGACTCCGGCGCGTCCCCCTAGCAAAATTCTTCTCCCGAGCCATGATAACACGGCTCGAACCCGAAATCCACAGCCTAGTCCAACAACTCTGCGACAAACTACTACGGCAATCCGGCGGTGACAATGAACCCTTCGATATCGCCATGGCATACAGCTGCTTCACTTCCGACGCCATCTCCAGTTACAGTTTCGGCGAAAGCTTTGGATTTCTCGACCAGGAAGGGTGGTACCCGAATTTCCGAGAGCCCACGGCTGCAGTGCTTAGACCCGTTTTCGTGTTTCGGTTTTTTCCATGGACGAGTAAGAGTGCGGCGCTCGCGACGACTTTTATCGATTATTTGCCTAAGGATATCGCGTTGATGGTTAAGACTTTACAGGTTGATTTGCCTAATAGAGTGCTCAAGGCGAAGGCGGATCTAGACGCGGGAATCACGTACGACCGACCCACGATTTTTGCTTCGCTCTTACAGTCTGATCTTGGTGCTGGGGATAAGGACGTGATGCGTCTAGTCCACGAAGCACAAGCTGTGCTGGGTGCTGGCACAGAGACCACGAGCTGGGCTTTGGCCGTGATGACATACCACCTCCTAACCAACCCCAAAATCCTCGCTAAGCTCACCCAAGAACTGCAAACCGTTGTAGAAGACCCGCTAAACCTCCCTGGATGGACTGTCCTGGAAACACTACCGTACCTCGGCGCTGTCATTCAAGAAGGACTGAGACTTTCCTACGGCGTGTCTAGTCGTACAGCGCGGATTCCGACGGAGGAGCCGCTGCTGTACCGTGGCGAATGGAATAAGAAGCCTGTTGAATACGTTCTTCCCAAAGGCTATGCGATCGGTATGTCGTCGTACGTTACACATCACGATGAACGCGCTTTTCCGGATTCTTATGCTTTTGCGCCGGAGCGGTGGTTGGATGAGGTTGGTCAGAGGAGGAAAGAGCCGGAGCGTAGTATACTTTCTTGGTCGAAAGGGAGTCGCTCTTGTTTGGGGAAGAAGTAAGTGGATTGTGTTTATCGTGATTTGGAGATGGATGACTAACGTTGATGTTGTAGTTTGGCTTTGTGCGAGCTCAATCTTTGTCTCGCTGCAACGGTGCTGCGTGTGATACCGAAGATGCGATTGTTTGATACGACGGAAAAGGATGTGGCGTATGATCATGATATGTTTGTGCCGATGACGAAGGACCATAAAGGTGTGAGGGTCACAATCGAGTAGTGTAATGAATAGTCACCCTATGATTTGAATGAGTTAAAACGCTCGATGCATGCGAAGAAAGTTCCTGTTCTTTGTTCATCATCAGATTCCGGATATCGCTTTTGATTTGTGGTATCTCATACTGAAAATAATCCTTTGCGCCATAGATGCGTTCTCCTCTTCTTTTCTCCACACAAAACACGCGCTCTGACTCTCTCTGATGCCCTCTACAGATACTCCTTCTTCCTTCCCGTCCTCGTGTACTGGTTGAGATGCCACTCCACATCCCCCTCCTTATTGTCCAACGTCCCCGCCCTAATCTCAAACAACCTCATGCTCATCCGGGGTCCCACCTCGGCCAGCTCCACAGACTGGTACCCTGTTTTGACAAAAACATGGTGTCGGACTTCAATTGTATCTTCGATGTTCTTGAACGTAACGACGCGGTTTCCCACTTTGGCGGTGGCTTCGCGGGGCGGGAATAGGTGTTTTAGGATTTGCACGCATCGTTCTCCCAGCTTAGTGCTGAAGCCTTCGAAGATGAGGTGGGGGTAGGATTCGGAGACTGTGCCGCGTGAGGCGTTGGGAATGTCGGCGCGGAGGACGACGTTGCTAGGAATTGTGAGTTGATGCCAAGTAGAGGGGTGGGATCCTGCTTACTGTAATGAGAAGGAAGCGGTCGGGCCGTGGGGAAAATGCGATACTGTCAAGGCAGTGGGTGTTCCTCTGTGCTCGTGGAGAAGGACGATGTCGCTCAGTCCACCTGATTTGGCGCTCTCAACGAGGTTTGGCAGGACCATGTTTCCGCGGTTCAATCGTATTGACGTAGGTAGCAATAATCGAATCTCCTTGGCGAACGTTCCCAGTCTACTCGATGGATCTATACCAGCATTAGCATGTCGCTCTGTCTTCCCAGCCGTCTTAGGTTTATGTACCTCTCGAAGTTGTGACCAATATCCTGGGATCTACCACGCCCGACAACTGCGCATACTCGTCGTCCAAGCCAAGCTCCTCTTCCGCCGTCCTATCCGCTCTGCTTTCATCGTACTTGAAGTCTTGTCTTAGGTTCTGGTCGTTGGCGACATCCTTGGAGAGTGGCTTGCCGCTGGCGAGGGAAGCTTTCAACGCTGCTCTTTTCGAAGCGAGTTCGGCATCACGGAGGGTAAGCGCGCGGCGGTAGAGGTAGTCGCGACGTTCTCGGGCTTGTTTGCGGATCATGGTGGTGGTGTGTGGTACGAATCGAAAGAGTTACTTGGGTCGCATGTAGGAAGTTGGAAAGTTCGCGACCGAGCGACGAAAAGAAAAGTGGGTCGCGCGGCTTATCGATAAGATCACGCCAATGCGAATACCTCGGACTTCCGATTTCACTCAAAGACATCAATTATCACCGTGTCATATCTCTTTATTTGAGTGTACATTAAGCACCTCCAAAATGTGAGTAAGCTATGTACAAGAACGTAAACTTTCACGCCTTCCCTCTCCAGGTCCGATCCACAATCCTCTCCACCTTCATAAACCTCATGCAGTACTAGAGATATTCTAGCCGAAAGAACGCTCATAAACCCAATCTCGAAATCATACATCCACTTCAAATCTCACGTAATCATTCACCAGAAGGTTGGGGGTTGATCCGCTAAGACCTCATTCACTACTGCAGGTGTGGTCAGCAAGCTGCGACATCAAGCCCATTCAAAGACCACACGCACCCTCAGAAAATCCAAATGCTATTAACCATCGCATTGAATCCGCTCAGGCTCTGAAGCTCTGCCCTCTCCGCCTAGTCAGAGACTCAATCTCCGACTCCACATCCCAGCACTCATAAAACGCAGCCCAGTCACCCACAAAATCTCCGTCTACGGGGCCATAGTATTTGCCGATGGGATACCCAACGCCGCGGGTTGATTCGCTGTAGAAATTGCACGTGGTGCCTGAGTCTACGTGGTAGCTGACGGGTTGGATGTAGTAGCCGTCTGCTCTGTCCTGAGTGATGACGCGGATGTTGTTCTGACCGGTGGTGTCGAGCATGTAGGTTTTGCCGTTGCAGTCGGTGACGTGGGCGACGGGGCTGAGGGGTGTTAGTGAGATTGAGAACAAGGCTTAGAGTTGATGCTTACGGAAGGGCCTCAGCAGCGATAGCGATGGAAGAGGTGAGCACGGAAGCGAAGATGAATAGTGGAGACAACATCGTGGGGAACTGCATGGTAGACGTGTGGTTCTTGGGTTCTCACTGCAAGAGATAGATGGTGACTGCAACAAGTTTTATAGCCTGATGCGTCAGGAAGACGATTGCCGTTGTACTACTACTCCAGCGTTGCACAAAGTTCTCGACCGTGATAGCGCCTTCCCAACACGAGCCCGTTACCGTGGAACGCGAGATAAAGCAAACAACAAAAAAACAAAGGACATGTCTTAGCGTGCTCTGGAAGCTACAACGCGTCCTCCAAGTAGCTAGTTCGCTGCATGGACTGTATGTATGCGGCAAGCTTGGAAAGTTCCCAACGCTACATACCCCAACATATATAGCATGCGCGCGCTAGCATTCAGCCCTTCAGCCTTGAGTGAGGGGTCCAGGCGAGCAGCTGTAGTAGTTGGGCGCTTTCTTCCAACGACGCTCTTCCTTGGTGAGAAGTCCGCTGCAGCGCGAGAACTGGTCGATGGATTCGTCTCCGCCGTTGTTGCATGTACCCGAGTCGACAGCGCTAAAGAGGAGTCAGTAAGTACCCGCCTGCATCTTTTTCTCTCATCGCTGAATAACTCACTAGTACAAGTAACAATCGCAGTTGAAGGCCTTGAATCCGGTGATCTCCTTGTAGTCTTTGACGGGAATACAGCCACCCCATTCAAGACGCTGGTGTACTTTGTTTCCGATCCAGGTTTCGGCGCAGATATCTCCTTGTGTGTGACATTCGTCACGTGCGGCGAAGACGCTAGGGCTCGCTGGGGAGGATCGAGGGGCGGCAAGAGCGAGTGAAAGGAAGCCGAGTAGGCTCAGCAAGGAGTAGAAGTGATACATGTTGTCGGGGCTGTTGCGGGTGAGTTGTCAGGAGGTGTTGGTTGTGTTAGCAGGAGCAAGAGTCGATCCGCGACTTCTTATATCAAGGTCCGGGAATGCGCCAAGCCAGTGCGTGAATCACTCGAGGAATGCGCGAACGTACCCGGTGAAGGCCCGGGCCGCGCCTCCCACGCCGTGGGTCCAAAATGTGCGGGGAACTACAGATTCTCTCTTGTGAAGGGTTGATCAACGCTCGCGTAGATGCGTGTATATTGCCAGTGCATCAATTAATGCACATGTGTGGCGTATCTGGGGGCCGACTCACCTCTTCGAACGTCAGCTCCAACCACTTCAGACCCCACTCGTATCTGGGTCTTTGAGAATACCGTGCCGCGACGATGGATGTTCGCCGGCGCCTGAATGGAGCGTGAATGGGTTCGCAGTCTGTTCTCTTGTTGCGCGTGCGGATGACAACACGATGAAGGTGCCCGGCTATTGCATTACGAGTCGATTGTGAGCGATCCAGGCTGATGTATCAGTCACTCGCATACGTGTAGCCAGAGACCATGATGAAAGAGATGTTTTGTTTTGCGAAGTGAAACATGATTTGGCCTACCAACGCCGTAAACATACATTATCGCTAAGAAGCCACCACTAATGCCAGCACTGACATGCTGATACAACCCCAAAGATGTGACTAGGGCCATTGACTCTGACCATGTCCGAGTCCGCTATGATGCTATCATCCCAAGGTTGCGCATCTGTACCATTTGGGGTTGGGATCCTCGAAGCAGGGTTCTTCGCCAGGATCTCCAGTGGGTCCCTCATACATCGGTGGATCGGTAGCTCCTTTGCAGTCGTCCTCGGTTCTACGCGGTAGTTGTCAGTCACTATCATAATCCTGCTCATACACAGTGTCAAGCAGCATGTAGTCGCCAGAAAGTGGTATAATCTCGCGTACGCAGCGTGTCGAGCGATACGTATCCCTCAAAGTGTATTGTACTTACAGGTGGAATGAACATTCACAGCCTCCAAACAAGCTGTAGGCGTATGCGTCTTGGTATCCTGGAATCGTATCGTTGTAGTAGATCGCCGTACACTCGGCTTGGGCTGGGGGATATGCGGAGATACCGGCATAGGCACTGCTGTTTCGGATAGTGAGAACGTAACCGCAGTTGTATGGCTCGCCGTAGAGTTCCGGAGTGGTCGCTAAAGGAGCTGATAGTGTGATGGTCAAGCTGGACAGCAAGCCTGTGAGGATGGTGGCTAGATACATCTTGGCTTTTCTTGAGTTTCGCTTAGATGCAGACAGTATGTAGGATCGTTATTGTTTGAAGGCGGTTTGGTGTGTAGAGTGACAAAGGTTTGAAAGATAAATCTAAAAGGCCTTGAAGATGTCTTTGATGTTTGCGTTTACTGATGCCTGTGGTGAGAGGATGTGAAGCAGGTCTAAATACCACATGTGAATCGCGATGAGCTCATCGCAGACATTCTCACCAGTGGTAACCGAGCTGTCAAAATGCAAGATCCCGTCGTCAGCATGGCTTTCGTACCCCCTTCTCTACCTATTATGGACGTTGAGCGTCGCACACATATACCGATTCCATGTCACCTTCGCCTTCTTGACGAATGCGCCCACGACGGTGCCCTATCAAGCACGGTAAACACGATCAGGAGCCATATGCGCAATATGTCGGTCAAGCCGAGTTGACGTGTTCGGAAGTAGGAGCAGCCTGACCGCCGAACCGCGCCTCTCCGGTACGACGCTGGAATGTATTCGAGACAGTAGTAGCAGTAGTATGGCGCAATATCTGTGTCGATAACATAGCTTTGGTGTGCTTGGCGCGGTTTGCTACTTCATCTCTGCAGGATCGCGATCACCGATTGGACGGCGGCAGCGGTGAGTATAGCTAGAGGTGTTACTGCAACGGTATGACGAAAGAAAACGACGAGAAGTAGCGCTTGATGCAGTCGTACCAATCCTCTATACGGATGTATTACGAACAAGTTTAGCAGCATCAGTACCGATACAGCTGGAAACGAAAAGCAGTATGTTACAGTGTATGCCGTGTTCTAAATATCCAGGATATGGCGTCGAGAAGAGTGGACATGTGCCATCGCGCATGAACCATGAGCTCGTCGCCAGCAGGTAACATCCCGAGATAGTCCTGTATTTTATCATCTTTGTGGTAACTCGCGCCGATCGATGTCAATAATGCAAGATAGTGCATACCTGTACGGCGGTACAGGCCACGAATGGAGAGCTTGTTTGTATCAGGCTTCGGACGACAACTTGATGCCGAGGAGATCGATGTGACGTGACGCGCGGATTTGACGGCATAGTAGAGGTGGTCAGGAGACGTGGAAGGAAGACGCATCAATGTTGGGAGACCCTAAAGAGGGGCGACCTTAGCGTCCACGTGACAGCGCGAGATCTCGACGACGCGCCGACCTTGAACATGGCGACAAAGGACCAACATTCCGAGTCCACATCCAACCTAACTTCGACAGCTGCGAGAATGAGCAGAGCAAGCATTGAACAAGCGCTCACGGGGTTAATACCCACATTGAGCGGCCCTCTGCCACCCGAACTGATAGAATTGGCGCTGTCCTTACTCACGCGTTCGCGAAGCGTCGCGACATCCATGAAGCCAGATGAGGAGATCGCACGACCATACGCATGTGCGCAATTAGCATGCGAAAGGTACAAAAACCAGAACTTCATACGCGCATCAGATGCTGACCTCCAAAGGCTAAAGAAGCGTCTCAACCTCCCTACCATCGCATCACGACCCCCCTGCCCCCCACGGATATACAAGAAACTATACAACTACCTCAGCAGCGCACTCCCCGACAGCACAACCCCTCGCGAGCCAACAACACCGAGCAAACCAAAAGTCTCAGCCCCCGCGTCAGCCCGCAACACACCGAAAACACCTTTAAGCGCGAGGAAAACACCGAGAACCGCAAGGAGGCTTGACAACAACGATGGCGAAGCACCAGAATGGGTGATGCCTACCATACGCTCCCTGGCTAAAACGTTCGAATACACAAGCCTGATACCACACGTATACACGGGCGTAGAATCCATCTACCCTCTGCTATCCCGCATGTCCGCCGCAGAAACACCCAGCAAGCGACCGAAACGAACCACAACCGCCACTTCGTCATCGGGAGAAGTCAGCGATACGCGCGTACTCAGCCTGATTGTCGTGGTGTTTCTCCTCGTCTACTCACGCATGAAAGACATCGACGTTTCCATACAACAATACAACGAATGGCTAGCCAAAGCAGTGAAGGCCGTTCTGGTCCTCCCTGCTGCAAAGGACGTCGAGGATGGAGAACTCCAAGCCAAGATAGAAGAAACGATGAAGATGGCGAAGGAAGAGGGGTGGCTGCAGATGCAGTGGTTCGATAGCGTGAAGCCGCAGGGCGATGGGGAGGAGATGGAAGGTGTGGAGATGGGCGATGGTGCGGCGGCGTCTAAAACGAAGGGCATGGGGCTGAGATCTGGTGGGAGTGATTACATTGGGTTGGGGACCATGATGCAGGGCGCGACTGACTACTTGGGGGAGCGCCAGCAGGAGGATTATGCGAGATGGAAGGAGGATATACTAGCGAGAGTACGTGAACTCGAGGGAGCTGCCTAGCGGCGGAATTTGCGTTGCGGAATACACGTCACTAAATGTTGATAAGTGTATACTTCCAAAGACGATGTATCCATCCGCCCTACTTGTAATTTTGCAGAATACGATACAGATTGGAGCCTTTCCAGGATGCTAGTATCATACCGCAAGAGATTGGAGCAAGTGCTATTAGATTCTGGGGGTATCCGCACCATGTTCTACGTACATGTCTACTCATACAAAGCCCTCCGTCTCCCTCCAGCCATGCCCATACTTCCACGCGCCACACCCAGCTCTAGGCCATCATGCTATGTAAGCGAATCAAATTTGTTCCGTTATCCCTGACGCTGACGAGCTTGGAGTCGATATGTCCTGTCTCTCTCTTGACGGCAGCGTCGTCTCCACCAGGCTTTGTCACCTGGTCCTGCGGTACATCTTCAATGGCGAAGAAGATGTGCATATCGAACGCGAGCCTCCGGTTTCTGCTGGGAGACTTCACATTGGTCACAACGGTCACCTTAGAGATACGTTTGATGCCGAGTTCAGCTTTGTGGGTCGCCAGGAAGTATGCTGCTGTCGCGCCGATGGGTGAGGCTGGAGGTAGTCAGTATGATTTCAGGTCACAGCAGCGACCTGATAATTAGGCCAGGAGGTCGTCAATGGGTTTCCGGACGTTGGACCAACGTTACAAAGAGCAACGTAATCTGCAAAGGGGAGTACGTGGGTGAGGTTACTTACCAATGAGCGCAGTGTATTCCTCAGTCCCAATTGGGAATACAGCACCCGGCCAGGGCGATAACTTTTTAATGCCTTTGTTCTTCATGGCCCGAGCGACTAGGAGACAGGTATCAGGGTTGATGACATGGTGAGCGGCGTACATGCGGAAGTTCTTGATATTGGGGTTATCGCGAACCCAATAGCCCCAGAAGATGTCGGACGCGGTACGAAGTTCGGGCAGCTCTCCGGGGTTTGCTGGCCGACCCCATCCCATGTTACCAAGAACAGCATGGCCTGGACTCTCGATGTTCGTTGCCATGATGCCTCCACCGTTTGCGCCGATGTTGACAGTGAACTCGTAGTAACCGCAAGTTGACTGGAATGTGTCAGCTACGTGCTTTCAAAATCAAACAATGCTTGTTCCATCGAAGTCTGTGACAGCTACAGGTTCTGTTGGATCGAGTATGACATACCAAGTATTTTTTGCCCGCAACGTAATAATCCTGGTCTTTGCAAGCCATCATACCCCCAAATTGGGGGCGTGGGTCCGGTTCCCTTTCTTCGTCATAGTGTGTAATCTTGAAGCATTCATTGTCCCCACCCAGCCGCTCGCCTTCATCGTCAAACTTCGGTTGCGAGTTGAGACCGTGGCCTTCAAACGCCGTTTTGAGCCCCTTGGCTTCGAAATCGCCATCCCAGCCCGTGTCAACATCCCCTTCGTGCCAGTACCACAATGGAATCTCAGCTCTGAGCTCGCCGGTCCATCTGCTCGCCGCGGAAGGTGGTTGTCTTGTATCTTTCGAGAGCCACCCGGCGCCTCTGTCGGTGGCGTCCATGAGACACGTCAAGTGATGTCCCTTGTCCAGGTACTTTTGCCATTTAGTGTCATCGGCCCAGTTGCCTGGATTGAAGTCGCCGCCATCGGCACGGGGAGCGAGAGCAGGAGGAGCGAATTCCGGAGCATTGAACTCTGGAGGGCTGAACTGGGGAGGAGCGTCCGAGGAGTCGATACCGAAAGTTCTGGTAATCACGGGACTGTCGATATGTCTACCGATGACCAAGGCGACGAGCGCGATAGCGACGCCTAGAGTACTTCGGGGCCTCATAACTGAAAGTTTTGAGGTGGGTTGTGTGACGTTGCCGAGCACCGGTGGTGCGAGATAGACAAGGAAAGAGCGTTTGTCGCCGGTATACGCTAACCGCACCCAGCGTTGAAGTGAGTGAATCACAGGCAGGCGCGAAAAGGTGTCGCTAGCGCGAGGCTGATGATCGACTCTTGACCTTCGATTACCCCATACAATCAGGCCCTCTCGAAGGGCAAGTGTCAATATCAGAGGTACCCGGGTAGCACGAGACTGTGTGAACCAAAGCCTTATTCGCCTCATGCTCGAAGACAAGGTACCTGGACCACCAAGCTCATCATGCTCCAAGACGACTACATCACAACATAACCCTCAGAAACTACACCAACGAACCCAACGTCTCCGCCACGCATCACTCCTTATACAACTCCGCCGTCCTCACCCTCCCCTCCTCCAACACCGCTTTGACCATCTCCCCGTCCCTCGGAACAAGCCTAACGCCAAAGTCCCTCGGTATAGCCACCAGCGCACTCTTAATCGCATTATAATCCACGTAATCCGTATTCGGTGGATTCGTCACACTAGCCTCAATCCTATACAGACTGAGCAAACGAAACAGCGCAGCGTAGATGAGTTTGCTTGCTATCAAAGCCCCTGGACAGGATCGGGAGCCAGCGCCGAAGGAGAGGTGAGGGGGGTTGGCGTGGGTAGTAGGGGTGTGGAGGGAAGATGGGGTGGTGGGAGGTGTGAGCCAGCGTTCGGGGTTGAAGGTTGTGGCGGTGGGACCGAAGTAGTCTGTGTCTGCGGACTGTTAGGTCTCTACCCATGTCCTGGAAATGAGTATCATCTTACCATGATTCCCAGCTTGAGCGTTGATCAAGACCATCGTCCCCTTTGGTATAACCGCATCTCCCCACCTGACCTCGCTCATCGTCTTACGCGGTAGACTCATGTTACTGACTGTATAGTACCTCCCTGCCTCCTTCACAATCGCGTTCAGATAGGGCACAGTTTCCTTCTCAAAGTCTGTTGCCCACGCTTGCTTCAGCGCCGCATCGTCCGGGTACATCTTGCGTATCTCGGCATACGCACGCTCTTGGTAGATCTGGCCTTCGGGTGTAGACAAAGAACCAATGCAGGATACCAATGTACCGGGTATCGTTTCAAAGCCACCGGAGACAAGGGAAAGACAGATGGAGCTCACTTCGACACCTGTAAGGCGGGTTTCTTCGTCTTTGAGGATGGCGGCGCTGATGCACGGCTTCTCCGTCCCGTTCTTGATCATCTCGCGGACCTTATGTAGAAGCTCGTTCAGGTACTTGTCCCGTCGCTCGCGCAGTTCTTTCGAGCGTCGGTTCTTTTCGTTGTTAGGTAGGTATCGCAGAATGGGCACGTAATCTTGGTAGTTCTCTGAGGCGGAGCGTAGAAGCGAGATAGCTGAGCCAACTTCAAGGATCTCACGGAGGAGATCATCGTAGACTGCGTCCATGCGGATACCATAGCACAATGTGAGGGTTGTGTTGAGGGCATAGCGCTGGATGTACGGCCGGATGCTGACTTCGACCTCCCCACTCTTACTGTCGCGGCAGAGATCCCGAGCTATGCAGTAGGATTCCAGATCGAACATGTCGTAGTAATTCTTCATCATGCCTTTACTCAAGGTAGTCGATGCGGCCTTGCGCTTGTTACGACAGCTCTCGTCCCATGGTGAGCTTCCGATAGTGAATCCTTGTGTCGATGAGATCAAGCCATGGAAGGTGTACAGTTTCGGCCGATCAATCAGGCCTTGCGAGTTCGAGACCAGGATCTTCTTGCAGTCTTCAAAGGAGTTGACGATTACAGCGCGCGTGTTGCCAAGTCGAATCTGGAAGACCGAGTTGCCATACTGCCGCCACCATTTCTCGCATACTGTCGCATGGTCGTCGCCGAGCTGGGTGAGGTGACCTGTAATTGGAAGAGCACCTGGTATCTCTGGTATACCGCGTATGTATGGGATGTCGGTGCGACTCAGTACCTAAGTAGTTGTCAACATCGCTGATCATAGCTGGCTTCCAATGAAACAGATACCTTATACGCTACAAATACGACAGCTGCAACAATTGAAACCACTACTATATGACTAGAAGGCATATACCTAGCATGGGGTACGATATCCGGCAGATGCTCCATGTTAGAACTCGGTGACACAAATCTTCAAGTTAACAGCAAGAGGAGAGACCTGTTAGCAAAGCAACGAGAACATTACTTATAGATGCCATCTTCCAGGTGTGCGAGGCCACTACCGGCATCCAATGCTTTCATGCATGATCGCGAGGGGTGCATTCGGAACCGTTCCGAAGATAACGGGCTGCTTATCAGTAAAACTCCCACCTTTGAGTTCATTGGAGACCGCGCAACGCGCCGAAATCGTCTCCCAACCAATGTGCAAGAGGCCATCATGAGATCAGTATCTCTTCCGCGTACACTTGCCGAATGAAGCTGGTGGATAGATGCAACCGTAGGAGATCTGACTAGCACCCTCACCTAAGGTGTCCTAAGGGTATATGCGATGAGTCCCACCTCAAATGGAGCAAGCAAATGTTGTGCCTTGGAGGTACCATGGATAGTATCACTGATAAGAAATGAGCTGCTTCATACGCGTGTGTGTCGTGGTAGTCAATGACGCGAGTCGAGGACGCCAAACTCGCGTTGGCGACTGACTAAGCCAGCTCAGGCATCCTGCCATTGCGTCATGCAACGCGCTCGTACGCGATTCCTTCATCCGCGTAACCGTCCTTCTGCCTGAAAACGTATACGCAGCCATGTCTGCCTTACACTCGCAGCACCCATCTTACCAATGCTATAAAGACGCGCATTCTCGCTTTGAACACCTACTAACACGGCATTAACGCACTCACCACAGCAATAGTTCCTACCATCCCATCCACCACCACCCAAAATGCCCATCACCGAACTCGCCCTCCTCCACCTCACCCCCGGCACCACGCTCGAATCACCCACCCTCCGCACCAACCTCTCCCACGCGAAAACCGTCCTACAGAACTACACAAACCGCACTTTCTACTACATGCAGCAAATCTCTGATCCGAGCTGCATCTACGTAGTCGGAGAATGGGACTCGCTAGATCAGCACCTGAACGATTTCATCCCCAGCGCAGATAATCAAGCGCTGCTGGAGAGCTTGAAAGACTACATCACTGTGGATTCCAACCTCGAACATCTCGA